GGATGAATTGTAAGGTAACAATAGCTACTATCCAATCTGAATGAATTGTAAGGTAACACTAGCTACTATCCAAGCTGAATGAATTGTAAGGTAACACTAGCTACTATCCAAGCTGAATGAATTGTAAGGTAATACTAGCTACTATCTAAGCTGAATGAATTGTAAGGTAACACTAGCTACTATCCAAGATGAATGAATTGTAAGGTAACACTAGCTACTATCCATGATGGATGAATTGTAATGTAACACTAGCTATTATTCAAGCTGAATGAATTGTAAGGTAATACTAGCTACTATCCAAGCTGAATGAATTGTAAGGCAATACTAGCTACTATCCCATCTGGATGAATTGTAAGGCTGCTGTACCGTACATCAGATTAAGCAGACAAAACAAATGTACAACACTAAGTTGAAGGGAAGAGTAAGGAGTAGGAAGATACGAAATTGATGAGTGGAACATAGAAAACATATGGAAGACATGTCAAGAGTGATGTGTAGAAAAAGACCATAGATGGACTCAGAGGGAGGAGAAAATAAAATTGGAAGAGAAGTGAGGAGAGATCAAGTTTGAGAAATAAAAAATGACTGTCAGTAGAAAACGAGATGAACAACAAGAAAAGAGGAAGAGACTGGCACCCATAGGGTCAGATGTGACATGAGAGTCACTGACAAGAAGAGTAATGAACTAGATATCTGGTAGAGAGAGGATGTGAGAAAGAGGAAGTCCTGGAACCTGAAATGGGAAGTTTAGGGGTAGACTGATCCAGAGGAGGAACAGAGACAAAGGGCAAGGTGAAGAAAGATGAAAAACCTGGGAAGATAACAAATACTGAACTCATACAACATCAGTCCAAGTCTGCAAAGAGAAATGAACACCACAAAAGACATCTGAGCAAAGAAAGGGAGCAAGATGAAGTGCCTCAGACAAAAGGTAGAGGTAGCAAAAGGAATACAGGAGGGTAGTGAGAAAGGATGAAAATGGGGAACCAAAGAGTGAAATAGAAGGCAAGAGGCCCAATCTCCAAGCAGACTAAATAGATACTAAAGACAGGGAATTAAGAAAGGAAAGGAAGAATGTCTACAAGTTAGGACAAAAAGAGTCACTAATACACCTATATTAACAATGAACATAAATCACAGTAAGAAACACTGTAACTTATTAAAAGAAGTCCTGGAAACTATGCTCACTATACACCTGTAGCAGCATCTAAAAAAAAAAGGAGGGGAGAAGAAGAAAGAGAGAGAGAGAAAAGAAGAAGAAGATCAAAATTATGAGAACAAGTCTTGTTCAACACTGTAACTGGTAAGGAATGTTCTAGGAATATGTTCCTTATACAGTTATAACACAAGAGAACAAGCCTCGCTGAGCACCATGTAGCAACAGAATGTAAACTAGAAATGTGAAGAGTGATACATATTAGTGATTCCTTCAGATTACAAATATTTTATCAAATCATAAGAAGGCTTCACAAGGCATAGCCTACTTATTTCCATGATTTATGCACCTTGAGGTTAATGAATTTTACTTCTGTCTCAACAAAATTGGATATTTAAATGGCTTAACTCCCCATACTATTATAATAAATGGCAAAATATTTCCCCTGGAACAGTGACAGTGATATAGGGTTTAAAACTTTACACAAAGGTGATAAAATATCACATAATAACGTACCCATCTTTTTGCAAAAAAAGTGTTATACTGATGGAAATATTTGCTGCAGATTTGTCTCTCGATATCATCTATTGGTGTTTAGATCCTTTAGCAGTGACTGCTAGTTCACTCTCTTGTATGTTTCCTATGTCAAACTTGCACACTACTTGCATTTAGCTCTGTGCAATCTGAACATACTATGCAAGATCCACTGTCAGTAGTCCATGACTAAGCTACTGTTTGTTAAAAACAGAAAATCTACTTGTTAGAGGTTGAGTGGTTTGAGAATTCAAGGTTTTTTCTTCAAGTAGGAGATTCTTTGCTCAGATGTTTCATAAAACTTCCTGTAAAGATTCAAGTTATAGTTTCCTGTTCTACGAGTGATCCCAGAACATTACAGTGCTCACTGATATGTATTAGTCATTACAAAAGTAGCTAGACTGGTTTCTGAAGAACTCATTAATATGTAATAGTTAGTGTGCATATATGCTTAAAACATTTTAACACAAGAACAATAAATTGATATCTTAAATTTGATTATTTGAAAATTCTATGACATTTCCAGAACATGGTTACTTGATCTATTTTTCAGGAACTTTCCATGCCTGGAAACTGAAAATGTTCAAATTTGAGGATGCATACAAACCTCAGTTATCTTTATTTCTATAGTAACAATGATGCCTTCTCAAATAAGCTTCACAATTTTACATACTAGTTTTATGTTTGAAATATAACAAAAAAACTGACCTCAACAACAAAACTGTCTACTATATCCAGTCGTGGGATAAACCAATGGCAAAATTCTTCTTCTGAGAACACAGGGCAAAGGTCAAACTTCTCCAGGTACTTAAAAAAATCAAGCAAATATCAATAATCTGTACAGCTTTACTTCAATCTATTATTGTTCTATCATTCTTAATTATAATTTTTCTTTGACATGATGATTTTTACTAGACATTACAGTTTTAATTAATGGGCAGCTTTTAGCAAATTACCAACTAAATCTGGTAATTTCAAACAAAGTTTTAAGATTTCCAGACTTTTATTGGCAAACATCTACATGAAATTGCTAATAAAATGATTTAAAGAAATCATTTTTCCCTAAATCATTAATCAAAACTACACAGATGTTAAATTGTTTTAATAATAACATTAAAGCATAAGGCATTTGGTCATTGCAATTTAAATGGTAAAATATTAAGTATAATTTATTCATATACAAACTGTCACTGTGGTATTGTGTGGGAAAAGACAAACACTGAATTCATGGACTGAAAAGGAAAGTTACAAATCATAGATTGATTTATTTTTTTAAAGTTACTTAAGTTTGCCAAAAAAAAAGAGAGAAAAGTATGAACTAAACAGTATATATACTACTACATGTTCAGTCAGGGTTTGTTCCATCAGTCCTATAAATGCCATAAAACACAATACAAAGAAGGAAGCACTGTTACAATTAACTTTTACTTTCTGACATTACTAAAAAGTTCCATGTTTTTAAAAACAGCTAGGCAGTATTTTGTCAACATTATTCAAAGTTCATGCCCATACTGAAAAGTTTAAAATCATCACTGCTTGTGCCACTGTTCAAACCTTCCAATCAATTCATGAGAAAAGCATCAGCCTTTTTTATATTCTAATGCAGTACACTGTTATATTTATTCAAAACTTCACTACAATTTCCAATACCAAGGACAAAATTTAAGTGTATTGTAAAACAAGTTTTTGGTTCTCATACATATTCTGTTGCTGAAGTTGTTTTATAAGTATAAAATTAAGTTTTAGTTTCTATTCAAAAACTATTTTCCTGTACTGAAAATATATTTCCAATAGGTACTTACCTCCTCTCACACATATAACTATTCTTGTTCAGTGCTGCCATCTATATGCAAAAATATTTTCACATGCCACGAGCCTTGAAATCCTATGTACCCCATGATCAACGTGGTTCACTATGACTCGTATGCAAGTCATTATGTGATACACAACCCTCAATCAATAGGAGTGCGACACATTGACACACGACTTCCTCTATTTGATTACACCAAACTATCACTCTGAGATTAGGCAGAAACAAAAGCATTGGTTTTTAGTGGGGAGGAAGGTTGGAAGTGTGAGAAAAAGTAAGTACCTATTGGAAATATATTTTCAGTACAGGAAAATAATAACTTCTGATACAATACCTTACCTCTCTCACATGTATAACTAGAATGTCACATTGAATAGGCAGAGGGACTGGAAAATTTCCCTCGAAAGTGTCCAAAGAACGCCCATGAAATGTGATCTCCATTGGGAGAGGAACACACATGGAGACCACACTACTTCTATACCAGGTATACTCTGCACCCAGTGTGGAAATAGGTGTCACATACATGGGAGGAAAGTTGAAGGAGCACAACCAAAAGGGAGAGAAAAACCGAGTGGGTTCAAATCCAAACCACAATATACTGGAATCTCAATCCTGATAAAGAAAGACTGTAGAAGAACCATCTAAAACAGGAATGTGCACCAAGGTGCAGAGTGGCTAGAGTGAGACAGACCACAGGTGACAAGTCAACTCCAGTCCAAAACCAAACAGCATTGGGAATACAACTTCCAACCCATGACAGGAGGAGAGTCCACACCATCTTCACCTTAAGTTGAGTAAAAGAAAATTATATACTTTTCAAACCAATCTATGAAACAGGGCACATATGCACAAATCCACAACCAGCCATACATCCAAATGACAGTATGAAGGAATGTGGCAGGTTACATCAAACCACACTCAATCAGACAGTGACCTCACTGCACAACATCAGCCTCAGGTAGTGAAACTCTCTGAGGTAGAGTATAAGAGGGAGAACCTTAACCCCAGACAACATCATCCTCCAGAGAGGACCACACAGAAGCCAGAGCACATGTGATGGTAGGATGAGGGATTCCAATCAGAGAGCTGAACTACAATGTGACAGATCTACTCCAAAGCAACATCACCCTCTGATAGAACCACACAAAAGCTGGGTGCAGCACCAACCTTTGGACCCCACTGCATGGAGGTGGAGCACATTTTTGTGAAATATTCACATCATTATCCCCTGGATAGTACTGCAGAGAAGTTGGAGCGCAATGCCAACACCCAGGTTTCACCACATGGGAATGGATCTCCTCTAGAAAATATAGGCAACCTCACCATCCAAATAGAACTGCACAAAAGCTGGGTGCAACATCAACCTCTGGGACTCACCACTTGTAGGTGGAGCAGACGATTGGAGGATGAAACTCCATCTACACCAGCAGAACATCACCACCCTACTCTCTATTGAATAAAAGTGATCACATTCAGGACTACTCCATAGTCCACCAACCAAGCGGCTTGGAACTGGAAAGTGGGAAGGACTCCCATACTCCACTAGAAGAATAAAAGGGTGCAAAATGTGGTTGAGAGTCCAGAGGAATGCCAACATTGGAGACAGTACAACAGCCGACCATGAAAACCTAATTTTGAAAAGCAGACCAACCTTGACTTATGCAACCAAATGGATGGCAGGGATGGGCAACTATCCCCTTCTGCTTTACCCATGTAAGTATATGGGTTAGTACAGTTCAGAATGGGCATGTTTATGAAGGAAATATATTTCAAAGAAAACCTACTAGCGATCCTGTGGAACACCCAATCTCGACAGTGTGCATTATTGCCCATGGCTTTACATTATGGCTGTAAATTGCAGATTGGAGAAATAGATAGCATACCTGGACAGGCAATGCTCACCACTGAATAGGATCCTAAACCTATATGGGACATACTACTGGAAGGAAAAAATAGAGAGGAAAGATAACTTACCCAATCACAGCTGCAATGAAGTTTGAAATATGACAACAGGAGGAAGGCAGTACCACAATGAGGAAGAAACAGTCACCCTATGAAGATAGTGAGAAATGAATGTATGAGGTGTAGTCCACATGCCCAACTGCAACATTTCCTCCAACAGAGAACAGAGGTAAGATGCCAGGGAAAAGATAAGGTGTCTGATCTGATGCAATGACACCTGGAACAGATTTTTGGAGGAAGGAGACAAGGAGGAATATGCCAATTGAATCAGTTGCCGAAACTAACTTGTAAGGGTAGAAAGAGAAAGGTCACATACAGAGGACTGTTGCCATTGGTTGAAAAGGTGGGAATGGGAAACACAGAAGGAAGATGTGGAGGCAATATAACAATGAAGAGCACATACAGGATAAAGCAGTCTATCTGGATCAGACTGGGAATAAACATGGTAAATGGATGGAAATGAAATCATCGAGAATGAAGAATGACCCTCACAAGCCACTGAAGTTTTGGGTAGGAAAGGTCGATCCAGATAAAGGAGAACATATGTGGAATGAAACAGAGTACTTGAAATGTTAATGGCAAAGATATCAGACTAACGATACCATAGGCTAAAAAGAATAGGAAATAAGTCTTAAGAGATAGGTGAAACAAGGAACATGAGGATAAAGTTCAAACAGATGGAATGTAAGGCAGTGAAGAACAAGACTGATATTCCAATTTGGAAGAACTGCCCAACGAGGAAGTCTATGTATCCAGAAGGAATGCAATAAAAGGGAGATGGTAGGAGAGGAAAAGACAAAAGGTGTTGGATAGAGCAGCTCGATAACCAGCTATAGAAGAGACAGAAGCCCCATGATTGAACAGTGTGTGTGTTGAGAAGACTCCAGTTCAGAATGAGTTAACAGGAGGCAGCTGTCCATGTAGTGGTGTAAACGAAACCCTCAAGCATACAGAAGTCAGGCAAAGGCTTTGACCACCCAACAAAATACATATGGTGCCAAAGCAAGCCTCAAAAGGCAAGGAGCAAAACTGATACACAACCCCATAGTGGACAAAGTGAAGACACTGTCTGAACAGATGAGAAATATGTATATGGTGATAAGCATTTGAGATGTCAAATAAAGAAAAGAAAAAAATTAACATGTGAAGAGAGCACAATTGAAAACTATCTGCACTAAATCACTGCCTAATGAGAAGTGATAGTTTGGTAGAATCAAATAGACAGAGTCATGTGCATCATGAGGGTGTGTCACTCTACTACTGGTGGAGGGTTGTTGCATGTGAGATGTAGTAAACCACATTAATCGTGGTGTATATGGGAGTTCAAGGCTTGTGGCATGCACACATTTTTTGCATATATAGGGCAGCACTGAACAAGAATAGCTATACATGGGAGGGGATGTAAGATACTGTCTCGGGATATTGTGTTTAAGCAGTTTTGCACTAGAAAAAAAAATCAAAATTCCTATTACTTTTGCTACTCTTTACACAATCATTCAGCAGTATATAAATTTTTTTTTTCTGCACAAAACAAAATTAATTTTTAACTTTGCATTATGCTATTACAGTATAAGAAAAGAAACAATCATCCTAAACATCTAAAAAAAAACAAAGGCTTACCTCATTCAAAAGCTCATGAGCCTGATGGACATCTTTTGGGGCAAGCTGTCGGAATCCTTCTATTTTGGGCTTCTATAAATACAAAAACAGAACGCTGTCACTGTTTAAGTAGAATGTTTCAATAATTACTTTTTTTCTTGTGAGAAACACTAGGGTTGCTAAACTTGTCAAAAAAAATAGTAGAGAAGTTATTCAAAGCACTAAAAGTATTGTCCTTTTAAACTATATAGATAACAACGAGAAGAGCAGTGAAGCATTTCTGAGATACCACAACTGAAATACACAGACTAAAAAAAGAGGTCACTCAGAATGCAATTGTTTTTCCACATTCATTTTAAGTTGACCATTGTGGATTTCAAACCAATAGCATTTCAAATGTCTTGTGCATTCCACAAGTCACCACCCAGAAAGTCTTCACCTTCTACTTTGGCAAGTCTTTAAAAAATTAAGATTAGCTTTCTCTGTGACTTTAATTTTATGATTATGTAAATTTACCAATACTTCTATTTCTATTTATTCTTGCATTTTTTTTTGCCATTATTGTTAGAAAGTTTGTTACTTTTTCATATGATTTTTCTCATTTTATACCAAATTTATTTGTATTATTTTACTTTGCTGGTTTTATAATGCTCTTCTTTTTTCTGTTCTTTGGCTTCCTTAATATTAATGTTAGATAAACCTCTAGTTGATTACATGAGTGGTCAAAGCATGCTTGTTAGCGTGACTCAGGTTTTCTAATCAACTAACATGCCCCCCTTTAATCCAAAAGAAAAAGCTTAAGGTTTTATCTTTTAGAAAAAAAAGGCTATTATTCAATCCCTTGTTACAAGAATACGAGTAAGTTATGGCTAAACTGTTCTGTTTAAAAAACTGGTATTGCACAATCATTTGACAAATTTCTACTATATTTTTGTTAGTAAAGATGTAATTTGTGAACAATATCAGTCTTTGAATGTTGTGTAAAATGCTTGGTTACAATAGATTAAATTGAGGACACTTCAAAATATTTATCAAATTTCAACAGAAACAAAAATAAGTGATAGACTAAAGTGTACCTCAGGAAGTTTGTACAATTTTAAGGTTCTCTGCATTGTCATATTCCGACTCAGATGGGAAAACTTAACCTCAATCAATTTTCGAGGATTTAGAGAGCGATGCCAATACCTGAAAAAGGGAGGGAAAAATAATGAATTTCTACATACACTTCAGAATATTTTAATAAAGTTACAAGGTAGTTTTGATATAAGAAATCAAGTTCTAGAATCACTGTGTGTTTTAATAAAGTTATTTTGATATATTTGAAAAGCTATCAACGCTAAATGCTGGCATAGATTTTTCTAAAGACTAATTGAAAGATACCAGAGAAGACTTTTTTGATTCTTGTCTTGAATGATTCTTCTTCATTAATATCCTTGTGGATTGAAACAGAAACGATCTGTGTTATATTCACTTTGTTTATCAATGTAGAACCAGAAATACTTTTTATCCTCGATATATAATCCCCTTTTCTAATTTTTAATTCTTTGTACATTGGAAACATCACCCACCTACATGTTCCTATAGGTTTTGGTAGTACTACACCTGCTGTATACACTGCTTGGAATATTCCTTGCAAGTTAACTCTTCTAGTAATTTCTCGAATGAGTACGGGAGCCATTCGCTTTGACCTAAGTTTCTTGTGAACACACAAGAAGTTAATTTCCACCATTTTCTGAACACTGAAATGAATAGAATGACCAGATTACAGAATTCTTAATTTCATTTTTAAATGAGCATACAAGTAACAAAAAAAGCATAGCCGTAATACATATTTTTTCATGGAGTAAATTGTAAAAGTAAGTGTCTGTTTTCTCAAGCATTGCTTCTGGGCTAGAGCCCAGAATCTGAGCAACATATAACAGACTTGGTAATAACCCCTTTGATATCCAATATAGTCCCAAAACTTACACTACAATATTTACAATAACAAGACTGGTTTGGAAAAACACATAAAAGAACATTTTCTTTTATCACTTAAAACTATCATCTTAAACTGGAACTAATACTACACCAAAATTGTCCCAAAACTTAAACTGATCTTTCATGGTCAATTTATGTGAAAAACATTCAAGTTTTTGGTAATGCACTTACAATATTTAGTGAAATTCTTGACATAATTCTGAACACATATAGACTTATATCCAAACAGTAGGAACATAAATAACTTTTACACACTTCCAACAAAATCCTACCAGAAAAAAACAATACGAATGTGAAGTACAATAGAATAGCCCTAAATGGACTTCTGAAAAAAAAGTGGAGAAGACATAAAATTGAACAAATACAGAATAATCCAAAGTGAAAGTTCAATAAATTATAAAATAAAAATTTTGACATTCCACAGAAAAGTGTTTAATAAACAAGGAAGGAGTAATATTAAGATTTTGGAATGACAAGTCATTCAATGACTGAAGCAAAATGATAAAGATGATTTTAGTATGTTTACAACATAGTTGTATCGCAGAAGACCAAAATTAACTTTAAACTTAGTGGATCAAGTAGTAATGCCTCGTACTTCTAGCCGAAACCCTGATTCCATGCATAGAAGTCACAAGATGAAAAAGCTTTAAGAAACAATCTAGATTTATTCAGTGTCAAATATTTAATAATGTAAACCAAGAAAACCATTAGGTAGAATATAAAAAAAGAATTTCATCTGTGTGATCAGAACAGTAGAAAAAAGTTATCTTTTCATACTAACAATAGTAAAATGAACATGTAGCCCAAGTTATCTGATTAGATATCTTTGTGGATATTTGTGGAATGTACATTTTATTGAACACATTCATGTAAAATGTTACTACATGTGCATAAACTAGTCTAATACAATTCTTGGAGTTGGCAATATTTTCATGTTTCCAGTTAACTACACTAAAGATGCTTGTCTTTCATTTGTAGTTCCAGCTTAATAAAGTTTTAATAACCTACAACATAGTAGAAAGTTTTATGTTTTTAAATCAGCTTCATTCATTAGTATGAGCTGTATAAAATATTAGCGACTATAACAAATGTTTTTCAAGTTAATAGGTGTTTCTTCACTATACAAACCTCTGAGCCTTTAATATACACTTTGAAACTCCTATTTAAACTTAAATTACAATTTTAACAAGTTTGCAGATATGGTATTAGCTAAAATAAACCTGGTTACTATAACAATAAGTATTACAATATCAATAACAAAGCATTTTATTCTTCTTATTAACTCTTTAACAAATTTAAGTATTGTGGTATAACTAATCTTTTAAGAATGAGGTTTTGTTAAATAATGATTAGTTCCTTTGATACTAGCTCATGACACTGGCCATGAATGCACCTACTTGGGACTAAAGAAATACACAGCAGTTATGACAAATATTAACATACTGGTCATAAACTCTTATCGTGGCAGGAACAGCACAGATGAAACCCACAAGTTTGTTACTTTTCACAACCCGTACACCACAATGCCATTCCTGTAACCACCCTGGTGGCTGAAGTGCCCTAAACAGTATACAAAATATAAATGAATTAACTTTAGTTAAAAAACAATCAACAGAACACTTTTTTCTATTGTTGTCTAAGCTGTGAAAACAGCCTACCTGGTGAACTGACTAACTAAACAACAATTCAGAAAAAGTTTGTTCTTTATTCTTAAATTGTCAATTTACTTAGATTTAGCAGAAAAATACAAAATTTCTGTAAAAAGGAAAACAAAAAGTCATGTTATTAATACATTGAATAAATATTTGTAGCTACAAAGTTTCATTTATATTCTTTATACTTCATTTAACTTTAACTTTATATTTATATTCTTCTGAGAATGTTAAGTCTTTCTTTATACATGAACATTCGAAAAAAAAGAAAATTTTCAGCAACAAAATTGTAGTTTAGTAGCATGTGTTGTTCATAGGAAACATTTCTGGACAATACAGTTTGACACATGTGTGATTATGCATAAATTTATATTACAAACCTTACTATCAATATCTAAAAATATATATGAATAATAATTACACTAATTATTACAGTATTTCAAGAGTTTATTCGTATTTATTGATACATTTAATGTAGCTTATTGCATTTTTTAGACAAGGGAAACAAGATCTCAGCTTTGCTTTTAGCTTAAAAATTTTGAGCTTTTTGAATAAAATTAATATGATCCTAGTTTGAAATGTAAGAGAGCAGTAATTTATAAAAAAAATGTAGTCAAATCTACCCAGCATTTTTTAAAGAATGAATGAGTTACTATTTTTATGAACAATGAACTTAATTGATAACTTAATTTTAAATTTTTTCTCTTCCTCACTAAAATGTGTAACTTCAGTGAAGAAAGACTCAAAAGTAGTAGTTGAAAGATATTCAATTCAGGCCTTTCAGCAGGGTCCAGAAATAAACAGGACAAATACAGTAATATTTTAGGATGAATAAAGGAATTTTAGAGAAAAATAAAGGAGTATATAAAATTGAACTTAGTTCATATTTTCATCGTCTGAAACTGCCAGGTGGAAATCATTCATGTGTGTTGGTTGAAAAAATAAACCTTTTCTGAGTCTTATCTTTTCTTTTGACAATCAATTCTTATGTTTGCACCCTTTGCATATCATGGCATTTTCACACACAATACAAAATCCTTGGTAACCCCTTTTATATTTATTGGTATCATGAGAGCCTTTGCTCAACACCTTCATGGCCTTGAACGATTGTCTTCTATTGGTCCATTCTCAGATGGTATCCTCATCTCACACATCCATTCTTTTATTGAAGGCTACTTGATTGAGGGGCTTGTCGTTAGATCTAAGTCCTTTTTCATGCCCACTCTATATTTGGTACTTCTGAGTGTTTTCTCAGCCTTATCTTTGCCTCTGAGCTACAGTTTATCTGAGCACCAGGATTTGTGCTTCTCATTATCTTCCTGTAAGAGAGGTTCATTTGTTTTTGGGGACTCTGGCTTTTCCAAAGTAGAAACTTTGTTAGATAGATAGTGGTAGATACATTGTTATAAAGTTCAAAAAATAAAATAATCCACTCAAAAAACTTTGTCTCTAGACTATTATTTAAAGTCTTGAACTTATTTTATCCAAACAAAATTATTCCAACAATAGTCACATAACACCTGTTTGCTCACAGAAGGAGATGCATATTTCAAAGTCTGTTACTGATCAGTGTTTTTAAGTCAGAAAATTTCCCATTTTCTAGAAATCGTTTTTCTCAGAACTGAGTGAAGCACAACGTTACTGCTTGTTGTCAATAAAGATGGAAGCTGTGGGGTTAGGCTTACAAGGGATTACTGATATAAAACATTGATTATACAGGATTTTCAATACAAATGTTTAAACTCATCTTGTTTGTCAATTTTATAATTAACAAATGAGATTATTTTCTTACAATACACATCAAACGAGATGAACACAGGCTAGTTTACATATTGCTGTTGCTATTTTTACACAACTTACATTTTTTGCTACAACTAGAAGATCGTGAAGTAGTTCACATATACTGCCATCCCTACTGACATTGTAGAAAGAATAGGCAGCTTTCAAACTCTTGTAGGCAGGATGGTGCATGACTGTTGATGGCAGGCAGTAGAAGCTGGCAAAGTCAGTTATTTTCCCATTTTTCTATTGAGAATCAGGATAATTTGATTACTAATTATCTGGTTTATATATCGAGTAGTCAAAATGTACTTATTAAAATTTTTAACACTAAACTGAAGTAAAAATGTTTGCTATAACTACATGAAATGTTGGGGTTATCTTACTAATTTAAAATCATAATGGTGTTACAAAACTAAAATATCATGACATCAGGTTAACTTGGCATTTTAAAAATTTCTAAGAAGCATATGTTATTAAAACTCTAGTGTCAGGAAATTAGATTACTATTACAACAATCCAAGGCCTCTTCAAGCTTAAGAATTAACAAAGTATTTTCCATACTTCATGTTTTGGTAAAATATATTATTGCACAAAAAACTAAGTGTCCAGTCTTGACACAGAACAGCCATCTTCCTTGCATGTCTGCCTATGAGGTTTGTATGCCACAAGCCTTGAGACGACTTACATTCAATTTCAAGTTTTAATGTGAACTGTGCTGGTGCATGATGATGTCACCATGCGACAAAAGCCATCCACTTATGCACTTGCACTTATGATAACTTCATAACGAGGCAATATGGAAATGGGGAGGATGGGTGGGAATGTGTGCAGAAGTGTCTATCAGAAATACATTTTCAGGTAAGGTAAACGTAAGCTTCTGGGATGATAACTCACTTCCACACACAAAACTGCTAGAATTCCATGTTGAAGTAATGGAGGAGCTGATGAAAAATGTTACTCAGAGAAGTTCCCTTCAGAAAGAACTTTAAGGGAAGCCTACGAGTGCGACCCCTAATGGCAAGGACTCCGTTGGTCTACCACACTCATGGAAAGCTGCATCTTGTCTCGACCATGGTACACTCTTCACCCAAGAAGTAGGGAGGGGGGAAAGATGCAAATAAGCCTCATGTTGTAAAGACAGGCAGAATGAGAACATAATTGTCTGACTACTTGCACACAAGTGGTCAGAAAGCCAACAGGTGTAGTGTAGTTGGGGTGTGTTCAGACTATACATTGTATACTCATCTCAACTGTACTGAACAGACTCTGGCTACAGGAGGTGAGCACAATAGATATGTATTAAGTTTTTTGAAGGGTGATGTGCACTATGCTGACAGCATCATTATCACCCCACTTCTCACTGTATTGTGCTAAGTCCAACCGATAAGGATTCTCCATGATCCACTGACCTAGAAGCTAGGAACTGGTAAATGGTAGGGGTCTCCCAAGTTCCACCTGAAGAGAAGGTGGAGGGTGGGGGATAGAGAATTCATACTGGGGAGACTCGAAGAAGTGTCAGGATCCTCATTAGACCTCCAGCCAGAAAGGTCTTTTATTGGAGACAGTGCAATGGGTGACCATGAAACCCTATTTTTAAAAGCCAGATAGTGTAAGCCAAAGAAGTTGGTAGAACATTCCCTGGTGTTGGATTTTTCCATGATAGTTCATGGAATATGTGCAGTCTGTATTGGGACAACTTAATAAATATGTATACAACAAGGATACCTCAAGTGGTCTTGCAGAACACCCCCATCTTACAGTGGGCATTGATAGAGCTACAGTAGATAGTATGAAAGGTTTCTGCTGTCCTGTCTTAATACAGACTTTGGATAAACATATCATGAGAGGTAACACCAGTCACCTGGTGGGATCCTATGAAATTAAAAAAGGGGCTCTGAAAAATAATTCTTCTTTTCAAAGACAGTGGGGTGATTGAAGAATGGCAACTGAGGGAAGCCTAAACCCAGCAGAAGACGAAACAGCCAAATGGTGTAGATAATGAGTGGTGAATATGTGGAAAGTTGTCCATATGCTCACCTGGAGGATCTTATCCTATGGCCAGTGAAGATGAGAAGCAAGAGAAAGAGAAAGGTGATGAATCAAATGTGAATAAATGTGAAATAGCCTGTGAGCATCTACATCTAGAGGAGTAGACTCATCCATTCAATAAAGGTAGAAGGAGAAAGGTCCCTGGAAGAAGAGGGGCCCTATGGTAGAAAAAGATGACAACTGGGACCCAGAAAGGAAGAGGTCCATGATAAGTAACCCTGAGTAGCCTAAACAGGACACAGGAGCTTATCCAGATTCTAATGATCAAGTTCAGTGAAATACAGAAGGAAGGGAGATAGAAGAGAAAGTACGGTCCATGTGATAGAAGTCTTAGGAAGGAAAGATTTGTCAGGGGAGAGTATACAAGTGTGGTGGAAGAGGGTGCGAGAAGCATTCATAGCATAGACATCCAAATAATGTATAATGCAAGCGAGAAGGAGAAAATAAGTCTGGGGAGAAAGACAGTATAAAAGGCAAGAAGCCAATAGCTCAAATGAGGCCCGAGAGCATGTAAAACTTCATTAAGGTCCTAGTCATGCATGGAAGTTAAGCAAGGAGGTCAGTAAAGAATGAAAAAGCAGAGTGGGAGGACAGAAGATGAAACTCCCTGTGGTATGCAGGAAAGCAAAATGCTATGGACAAGGCCACCCAATAACTAGCAAAGGTGGAGACTGACAAACCATGGACATATGGCCAGGTTAAAATGCAAAAAGGTAGTTCATAGTATGATGGCCAGAAATAAGACAGTGGCAGATGAACCAACAATGAAAGACCCACCACTGTCATTGATAAACAAACACAGTGGAAGAGCAACAACAGGAATGCCACATGATCAGAGGGTCAAGCCCGATAAGTGATGGACCGGATAAAACCCACATGTGAAGATGAAGGGAAAATATCCCTCTATGAAAAAATAGACATATGAGGGTGAGGCAACAGAGAAGAGATATTAGTTGAGTAAGGTGAAGTAATAGAGAAGGAATATTGGGTAGAGAAAGGAGGATCTGGATGCTAAGCAAAGAAGCAGAGAAAACCAAGCTGAACTGGTCAAAAAAGCACCAACAATAAGACCCAACAAGGAGCATCGCGTATCAAGGTGAGGACCCAAGGGAGGAGACAAAGAGGTAAGACCAGGCCTGGCTGAGATGTGAAATAGTGAACCAGAAGAGAAGAGCCTGGAGTTGAGAAGTGTGGCAAAGGTGTCTCTGAGAGGTGTGTCCAACCAAGAGGAAACCAAATGAAAGACCTGGTGGCATACAGACCACTCCATTGGTAAAATGCAGATTGACTGAAGGAAGCAGTCCACCATCAAATTCATAGCTCCCGGTAAATGACAAGCAACAAGACAAACCAGATGTGAGTGGGCTCAGAAGAGTAGGTTTAATGCCCAATAACAAAGGTTCCTGAAACTGGTGCCTTCTGGATGGTGGGTGTAAGAAACAACTGTGGAAATGATGGAGTGGATCATAACAAAGTGATCCATCAGTATGGGCAGGAATGGGAACATGCCCAAGGAACAGCAAGATATTCAAGAACATTGATGTGGAGTGAACACTTGTCCTACATCCAAGTGCCAAAAGATCTGGTTTTGGAGATGGTAAGAGAATACTGAAAGTAGTATGGGCATGATCTAATCACCATGGCAATTCCTCAAGGAGAGGAGAGGTAAAAAAAAAAGTGAACATTGGAACTTGAGATAGAATCCTTTAGATCTGCAAGGTCTACTGGAGGATGCACATGTGCTCATGCTCCAAATGAATGAAGGGATCCGCACTTTTAGGAATTAACTAATGAAAACATTGCCATTTAAAAGCAAAAGATTATCTACAAGATATTTAGTAATGGAGCCCAAAATGTTACGAAAATATCCCAGTCTAGATTGATCACTGTATAAATAACAGATGATCTAATCAGATACGAGTATGCAGACTGTCTTTAATTCCAAAATATTTAACTTCTAGCTGATGCCTGTCGCAATAAGTCAATGACAACTCTTCTAAAAATAGTCAACCCAATCCCTTGGATTAGTATGTGTGTGCAATTTGATTGTCATTTCCTGTGTTATTTAAATAACAAAAATTGCTTTGCATTTGTTCAGGAAATATAGTGTATATCAGACATTTCACTATTAAATATATATATATGTATATATATATATACAGCAGTTAGGCTTATGACACTTATTTTATTATACTGCTACCATTTGTATTTGAATTTCTCTCTCTTTTATTAAGTGTATGTTAGTTATCATAGGGTATAATTATAAATAAAATCAATTTTTTAGCAATTTTTTAAGAATTTTATTCAGTATAGATCTAAAAGGAAAAAGTAATATGGAGTGAGTTATGAACTAAGAGAAACAAAACAGTATTAATACCATACATCATAATACTAAAATTACAGCCCTGACTTAACTTCTTTATTATATTTATATTTCTATAATTTAAGTGCCAATACTTAAAACAATTTTTCTCAAAAAGTTCAATAATTACTTAATGTCACATTTGGATTTGACAAGGTCTTACTTTACATTTAAAAAAAGTGTAGTTAACTCTCTGCTTGGTTCAAACAGACATAGAAAAAAATACCAGGACCTAATTTACTAACTTTAACAGAAAGAGAACTCCACCAAAATTAATTAACTAATGTTTTATCATATTAATAAAAATGCAGTAATAGTTGCTGTACAAAACATTCCATAAATAAATTTAACACTTGGGCAATAAAAAAACAAACCTTTTTCAAATAAAAAAAAGATACAAAACAATTCTAAATGACCATGTGCTACTGTACAAAGTACTAACAAATTCTTCATCATTTACGCTCCTCTAAGTTTAATAACAAGCAATAAAGCCTTGTGTCTTTCTTCCAAATACTACGTTTCATTGAAGTTAAAAACTCCTTCAGCGTATAAACCAAAACCAAATAGTACTTACTGGTCATATTAATTCAACTTCCCAATAGGATATTAAAAGGTTAAAATTCAAGGAACTTGTGTATATATTTAAAATATGAAAATCCACAAATGAACAACGGTTGTAAAATTCACTCTACGTGTTTCAACATGGTTTCACGTCATTTTCAGGAGTGTTCAAAACAGTTACTGTGTGCTATATATAAGTTCAAAACCCATCATTATGTGAAACTAGTTTACAACTTAAAAAAAAAAAGATCACACCATCTACATACTTTCTGATTTTTTAACCCTTCATAATTATTTATTTATTTTTGCTGTGTTTCATTATTTCAATGGTTGCTAATATTTCTAATGAAACACAGCAAAAGCAACTTGATCTTAAATAAGGCTGAAGGGTCAGAAAATCGGAAAATATGTAGATGGCGTGATCTTTTTTGATTTGTAAACTAGTGTCATATGACCATGGCTTTTGTACTTATATAGCACACAGTTACCGTTTTTCACACTCCTAAAGAGACGTGATACCACGATGAAACATGTAGTGACTTTTACAACCACTGATCGGCTTAAATAAAGATTTTAATTGTGTTTAATTGTTGTTTGTGGATTTTAATAGTTTGCCAATAGAACAGCAACTGATTAGTTGCTGAACATACATGAGATATCAAACCAACAAAGCTAAGATTCATAATCATATATTGTTAGAGAGACTGTTTTCATATTGTTCATGCATTAACAATTGTATATCTCATAATTTTTCTGACAATCGCACTCCATTATTTTTAACAGGTTTTCTCAGTTTATTGCTGCAATTTTACCTAAAAAAACTTTTAAAAGAACTAGAAATCTTGTGGGTTAATAAAATCTTTATATTTCAATGTGGTGTTCAGCCTGAAAGTTTTTTTGTATGATAATACATACCTATGTTTAAACAATATTAAAAACAGTAATTGTTGTGGATAATTTTATATGTTGTCAAGGGTGCTGTCAAATGATAACCTGTATATTTCTGTTGTATGTTTATATAATGATAAGCTGTATATTTCTGTTGTATGTTTATATAATGATAAGCTGTATATTTCTGTTGTGTGTTGTGGAAGTTTCAATATATTCCTTTTCTTGTTTTTCAGTCTGGATTTGATGTTTTTAATGCCTTAGATCTCATGGACAACAAAGAATTTCTTGAAAAACTTAAGTTTGGAATTGGGGATGGAAATTTGCAATATTATTTGTATAACTGGCGTTGTCAACCAATGACTCCAAACAAGGTATAATGTTCAATTGTAATTTAAATTTAACGGTAGCTGTTCTAGTATTCATTGTATATTATTATTATATTTCTATACATATATATTAAAACTGTTGTTGACCCCCCAGTAACATAGTCGTATGTCTGCAGACTTACAATGCTAGACACAGGCTTTCAACACCCGTGGTGGGCAGAGCACAGATAGCCCATTGTGTAGCTTTATGTTTAATTACAAACAAACAATTGTAATTAAATATAATTTAGTGATTAATTATTTCCGTTAATGTATTTTGTGTTCAAGAATTTATAAGCAATATGGTTTGTTAAATACTATTATTATAGATGCAAATTCTGTTTGTTTTCCATTATTGTTTTACATATTAATAACCTTGTGTAAAATGTGTTTCAATATTTTAATTTTTTCCTTATTTTCATAATTATTTCTCTTAGATTGGTCTAGTCCTTCAGTGAAGCAGAGAAGGAAAAACTTTACACAGGAATATTGTTTATTGGAACGTTTACTTTCCGTACCACCAGGAAACCTAATCAGCTGTATAATTATACTGTTTTCCCAATCATTACAATTAAGCATCGTGTGTTGTGCCTTTTTAATGAAAAGAAATATTAGATAAATTTAATATTTCTGATTTTTATGAGCTTCAATGAAGTAGTTTAAACGAAGAGTTATGCTGATTGGTATATGTCATCAATATTGTAATTTAAAACAAACCATCAGATACTAATAGTAGTAGTAATAATTAAGAAATTTAATTGAATAGAAAATCTGCAGTACAGACAAGTCAAATGTTTTTAAAACTTTAAGAAGATGTACAAATTATTTGATTTTGATAATATTCATGATTTTTTTAATGCCGATTGATCTGCCCTTACAAAAATATTGAGTTTATGGTAAATGTTTATCACATAAGAGTAAGAATCACACTGAAGTTTTGATTAATGTGGTGAGTGATATTGGTAATACTCTTAAATAAATTGTACTAGTTAATCTATATTAAATTATAGCATCTAGTTAGTGTTAGTGAGTCAACTGATGCAAACTTCAGAATGTTGTTAACTTTAAAAATGTTTGCTTTTTCCTCCACGTAAATATCCAAATTTCTTATTTAGTTGAATTTGAACTTTTCTCTCTAAATATACAAATAAAAATTCTTAAATTTAACATATATGTGTACATATATCAGTATATGTTTTTGTGCGTGTATGTGTATATACCTATAAAATCATGATTTAGATTCATTTAAAGTTTATCAAACCACATGGTAAAGTTAAAGGTATTTCAAATCTGACAAAATTTCAGGAATCATCTGTAAACTTTTGTGAATTTACTACTCTTGATAGAGTACATAAATAAGTTAAATAATTAAACCATACTCTATTATAATTGAATCAATATATGCCATGTGTGTGCATAACGCATCACGCTTACTTACGTAAGACTGTACTTGAGTTAGCTGAAATGAAGAATTCTGTGCCTTTTCTGGTATAGGAAAGGTAGTGTCTAGATCAGCCACCCCTTTTGTTCTTGACATGATAAATAAATTAGAATTCCATTTGTCCAGAGTCAGTTATATTCTTTTTAATTTGGTTTAAATGTGAATATGTTTATGTCAAAACATGCAGCTGCATTTGGACTGCCATATTTGAATACTGTCAGTCTTTCTTTTGAACAATCACGTGGCTCATCACATAGCGGTTACTGCTTTAATTTATGCTACATGAGGCCAATAAATATTTTTTTTAATTTCTGTGATGTCATTTTGGACAACTTTGTTTTCTATAAAGAACAAAGAATGTGATTTAGTTTATTTATCTAATAACCCAGGTTGTCTGATTTTGTTTTTTTTTAGCCTGGAAATAAAATTAGTTTGATTTATTTAAATATTTTTTTGAACACACACACAAAAAAGAAAATAATAATAAAGAAATAATATCTTAAGAGATTTCATGTAGTATGTGTATGTAGGAAGCAGGTGAGATTGAATTTTATCATTGTGAATTTGAATAAAAAGATAGGCAAAAATATCTTACGATACACTGAAGAACTTGTTTAAAACTAAAAGACTGACAGATTATTAACTATTGTGACCGTGAGTTTCCAAATGTATATATTGTGTGAAAAATATTGAATGATCAGACTGAACCCTAATGAAGGTTGTTCAGTATCTTCATTATTTTGGTTCTGTACAATAACATAACGGTGAAAGTATAATGTAACTAAAAAGTTAAATGCCATTTCAGTCTCACTTATTCTGATCTCGCTAACCATGTTAGTTTTACACAGTCTAAAAGTAAGAATTCATCAATGATCCATTACATAATTTATTAGCAGTTTGTTTCTGACTTTGGTCTTAGGTCACTTGTGTGAATTCTGATGTATAACTGTTAGTGTTCCAAGGTAATTAACCTGTTGAGTATCTGTGCCATACAAAGACCCCCAGTAACATGGTGGTAAGTCTGAAGGCTTATAATGCTAAAAACAGGTTTTGATACCTGTGGTGAACACAGCACAGAGAAGCCACTGTGTAGCTTTGTACTTAACTCTAAACAAACAAAAAGAAGCTAGTTTTTAAACATTATCTTATTTGTACTGAGAGATTCAAAACAATTCTTCTTTCTCATAGTTTCTTATTCTTCTGATAATTACTCAGTTCCCTCGAGCACCTGTTCAGGTGTTAGAAGAATTACTTTTATAAGGAAAGTTGAGAAGTCTAATATTCATTGAGGTAAATCTGTGCTTCAACCTAAAATTATAACCTAATATCAGCCGAGTGATATGAGGCTTACACGTGAATAATGTTTAATTTAATGTCTTTTTTTTGTCTTTTTTTTACTTGTGTGGTGTTTTCAGTTTTAGATCTGTACATTTTTAACATGGAAGAATAAGACCTTACTTAAAATGAGCAGTATATCATTCTTAATAAAAATCCAGATTCTTGATTAAAATCTTGTTAAAAAATTATATTCACTATAACATCAAATTAATTTACTGATAAAAGTGACTGTCAAATCTACCATTCGATAGGGTTGCCCAAGAGTTATAGATTGACGCTAACTTCCCTATAGTTTGTTGGTTCAAGATCAGGGACAGCTGGTACGAATAACACTTATGTAACTTTGCATATGTCTGAAACAAACCAAACCCTTTTACTCCTTATCTTAAATGTATATACGTATGTGTTGAAGTGTATTCCATGTGTGTCCTACATGAAGACCTGTAGTACATTCATGTAATTAATTTAAGCAACATTGAGAATCCACTATAGCAAAATAACTGTTGTTATAATTCTAGAAACAAATGCTTATTTTCAAAATAACATTGAAAAAGTGTTGTTTTTGTGTGTGCGTATAAAGATGTGTTATGTTCTGATGAAATAATAATTAACTAAAGTTATGGCTGAAAACTATTTCATAATTGAAATTTCCCAATTAAATATATTTCAAAGATTCCGAATTCTATTAAAAGATTAAGTAACCGTTTTTTTTTGTTTTGTTTTCTTATTAAAATTAACAAGTGTTTTCTTACCTGGAGAAAATATTAAGGCTGAAAACCCATAATTTTTATTAACTTTTCAACAATTTGATAAAATTAATTATTTTTAATATTGTAAGGTTCTACTAAGAAAACTTAAAAATAAGCTAGTAAATCTGCATGCACTATTTTAGAGCTGACCTGAAAACAGTGTTTCTATTCAGATGGCACTAATAACAATTTTAGTCTGTAAAGATTCTTTAAAAATTAAAATTCCACATGATAGAGAAGAGTAAGATATTTTTGAATAGCATAAACAGTATCTAGAACAAGAAATGGAATCCAGATTAATACTGTTGTCTCGGCTCACCCAAGAGTTGATTTACATTGGTTTTTTTGTGGCCCAATGATGAGCTTATTGAACTTAAAGACTGAAAGATTGAAAACCAT